TCTGGATACTGCACTTCAAGGAGGATGCTGACAAATTGGAACAAGTTCAGTGGAGGGCAACAAGGATGGTCAAGGGACTGGAAACAAAGTCCTATGAGGAAGGACTGAAAGAACTGTGCATGTTTAGCCCTGAGAATAGAAGACTGAGGTGAGATATGATAGCACTTTTCAAACAACTAAAAGGCTGTCATAGAGAGGAGGGGCAGGATCTGTTCTCGATCATCCCATAGTGCAGGACACATAATAATGGTCTCAACAGGAAGCCAGCTTTCGGTTGAATATCAGGGAAAACGTTCTAACTATTAGACCAGTATGGCAATATACCCAATTACCTCAAGAATTGTTAAGTGAACGCATTCAAGGGAAATTTAGACAACTACCTGACAGGTATCCTTTGACTTGTATTCCTGGACTGAGCAGGGGTTTGGATTCAGTGGCCTTATAAGTCCCTTCCATCTTCATTATTCTATGATTCCCTTATTCTATGACTCACACCATACTTCTGGAGAATGCTCAGAATTGATCAGGATCTTGTTTCTACTAATGGTTTTCACGGAAAGTGGACTTTGCTAGGTTGAATTGTATAAAATATTTGTATCAGACAAAACCACTAAAAATGAAACATGGTTTCATCAAACTGTATGGATCTGGTACCTTTTCCCAAAGTCTTTGGCAAGTTATTGCTTCACGATGGAAGAAAAAAAAAGATAAAATCTGGAGTGGATAATCCTGAATACAGAAAACCAAAGAAAATTTCATCAATATACGTGCACTTTATCTCTGATCCAGTTTGGAGGGATTTAAAACCATTCAAGGGAAAAGGCAAAGCATTGACTAGAGGATACAGAGTAGACGCAATGAAGAACAAAAATGGCATTCCAGAAGAGAAGTAGGAAATTGTGCAAGGCACAGCATACTGACACACCAATCACCATCTCCATGTCTGAACTCCTGCACAGTGTTAAACATTTCAAACAGATACAGTCTGCATATTTTCATCATCTTTCTCTCTCTGCAAAGAATGGCCATTTTCTCTATCTTTGTAAAGATCCAGCAGATGTAAACTTTTCCTCTGGTATGACAGTCTTGTAGGTGTTCAGAATATATCTCGCACCTGGATCTAAAAAGTGGAAGACAGGTTCTAAATGTGCTGTGGGGTTATGGATATTCATGCCCTTGGCTGACTCCCAAAATCAAACTACATCTTTCGCCAGATCATTCCTTAAAGATACAGTGGAATAAGCTTAGATGGGATTGAAAAAGGGGCCACATTAGTGCTTGAGTGTCTCCAGAAAAAAAAATTCAAGTATATTTTTTTCTCTCCTTCAAACTGCATGCAATATGCACAATGCTCCACTACAAGTCACTTTTTAAAGTACCTTAGCTTGAGGAGCAGTCAAGAGACTGGCACAGCTTTGCAACTAGGAGCACAGCAGATTTAGGGAGTTGAAAATGCATGATTGCATTCTGCAAAGAAGCAGCCATATTAGTCTATCTCAGAATGTTGGAAAAATTACAGGGAGGGGAAGAAAGAAGAAAGAACAGGAGGAGAGAAGAATGTTGAATGTTGTTTCTACAAGGTCCAATTGTGCCAAGGAAAATAATTGTTTTATACTAAAACGTTACAGAAAGGTGGGCTATTAATGTATGTAATGTGCTAAGAAATCGTGGTCTCTATGCCTTTAGAGATTCAACAGAAGTTGTTTAGGTAACCAGTATCTGTAAGGGACGTGGTGGCGCTGTGAGTTAAACCGCAGAAGCCTCTGTGCTGCAAGATCAGAAGACCTGCAGTCGTAAGATCGAATCCACATGACGGAGGGAGCTCCCGTCGCTTGTCCCAGCTCCTGCCAACCTAGCAGTTCGAAAGCATGTAAATGCAAGTAGATAAATAGGTACCACCTCGATCAGAAGGTAACGGCGTTCCGTGTCTAGCTGCACTGGCCACGTGACCACAGAAGATTGTCTTTGGACAAACGCTGGCTCTACAGCTTGGAAACAGGGATGAGCTGCGCGCCTAGAGTCGGACATGACTGAGCAAATTGTCAAGGGGAACCTTTGCCTTTACCTATGTGCTGTCTCCCTCTCAGGCTTCCTTTTGGAATTTCTCTTTTTGTACAAAAGCCACTTTGAGATCCACAACAGGGAACTGTTTGTGCTGCGTTCTTCACAAATCCTTTCAATATTTACTTTATTGGCTATACAATGTTAGTGCTAACTGTGGGGGGCATTAATATGTTATATTTTGTTCAGCCAGCAGGTTTTTGTAGTATTTCCACTCGCATTGTCTTATCTTCCTTTTGACTTGTGTGACTGCCTATATCAGCTCTTTGAGACAATTGTTGGGAATGTCAAACGAAATCTGTGGTCATGCACCCAGTGGAGAGTGGGGAGAGGGTTAAACCTTATTTCTTTGGCCTGTCTTCTAATTGCACTGGTTGCAACTACAACTGCAATTAAATGTATAACTTGAACATTTTAAATGTAGTTTAGCATTGTATGGCTATGGTGCTAAATTGATACAGCAGTGATTTAAATGCTTATAGTGCCTTGTCAATTTTTTTGTTAAACTTTTGGGGGGGAGACAAAAATGTAATGTTAGTGAAAAGGGTACATAAGAAGGTGGTGATAAATGCAGAGAAAGGTGAGAAAGATTCAAGGAGGTTGTGTGACATGTGGGCACGTGAAACACACCTTCCTGTAATAATTAAAAATTTATGTGTGAATGACAACATCAATTTAAGTGCCTAGTTTTGGAACAGAGAAGTTTGCATCAACTCAGGACAACTTTCCATCATGCCCAGAATGTTCTGAAACTGGTTTTTCTGTGTTACCATTTATGAAATCAAATTTGTGAATCTAAAATATAAAGCACAGTGGTGCCTCACAAGACAAATGCCTCACAGGACAAAAATCTTGCAAGACAAATGGTTTTGGCAATGGGATTGATGACTCGCAAGACAAATGTTCCTATGGCTGTGCTTCGCAAGACAAATGTTTTCCGTTTTTTGTTCCTGCCTCATGTTTGCTGATTTTTAAATGTTTTTCTATGATGTTTAAAAAGTTAAAGTTTTTTATTGAATTTTTTAAAAATCATCTGCACAATATGTATGGCTTTACACAGCACTTAATAAATCCCTTGTAAACCAAATTTGACTTTGTTCTGACTTTTTTTGCTCATAGGAACGCATTAATTAGATTTCAATGCATTCCTATGGGAAAATGCGTTTCGCAAGACAAATTTTTCGCAAGACAACATTAACCATGGAATGAATTAAATTTGTCTTGCGAGGCACCACTGTAGTTGTTTCCCTTAATAGACTCTGCTCTCTGTCTCAAAAATAACTCTAAGAATTCCTATGACTGCCAAGTCTACCCAGCGTATGGCATACTACCCTGGCCAGGAGCTGCCAATTCAAATAATTAACACCTTACAAGTTATATTCTATGTTAACAAATAATTGTCACTTTGACTATTATGTGTATCCCCATCTAGACACTGGGATATGTACTCGTGTCTGGACCTGATAATGGACTGGATGAGGGTTAATAAATTGAAACTCAGTCCAGACAAGATGGAAGTGCTGTTAGTGGGTGCTTCGCCGGACAGGTTGGAGGGCCATTTCCCTGCCCTGAATGGGGTTACACTCCCCCTAAGGGACAGGGTCTGCAGCCTGGGGGTGCTCCTGGACCCCAATCTAACTCTGGAAGCCCAGGTGGACTCGGTGGCCGGGGCGCCTTCCTTCAGCTGTGGAAATTATACCAGCTGCGGCCCTACCTGGACGAGCAGAGTCTCATGACAGTTACACACGCACTTGTAACATCTCGTATAGATTATTGCAATGCGCTCTACATGGGGCTCCCTTTGAAGACGGTCCGGCAACTGCAACTGGTCCAGAATCGAGCTGTGCGGCTGGTGAGGGTGGGGCCGCTAGAGAACACATCAAGCCGATTCTGTTTAAGTTATATTGGTTACCAGTTGCTGCCCAGGCCCAATTCAAAGTGCTTGTTTTGACCTATAAAGCCCTAAATGACTTGGGCCATGGATACCTGAAGGACCACTTCCTTCCATATGAGCCTACCAGGCAGTTAAGATCTAGCCTGGGGGCCCTTTTGAAAGAGCCGTGCCTCAAGGAGGTAAGAGGGATGGCTTGTAGACAAAGGGCCTTTTCAGCAGCTGCCCCAATACTACAGAACACCATCCCAACTGAAATTCATTTGGCGCCGACGCTGATGACATTTCGGCGCCAGGACAAAACCTTCTTGTTCCAGAAGGCTTTTAATTGAAATAACATCAACTATGGGTCCTGATAGCAATTTCAATTGTATTTTAATCATTTTATCTTTTATTATATTTTAATTTGTATTTTAATTGTTGTAAGCTGCCCAGAGACCTTTGGGTAGAGTGGGCGGCATATAAATAAATGAATGAATGAATGAATGAATGAATGAATGAATGAATGAATGAATGAATAAATAAATAAATAAATACAGGACATGTATTTGCATTCCCTCTGTCTGAAGAAGTAGATTTTGATCCATGGAAGGTCACACTGGGACAAACATGTGAGTCTTTAAAGTGCCACAATATTTTGTTTTCTCTCTCCTCCCCTGTAATTTTCCCCTCTAATTTTGCCAGCTCTAATGTGCGTAATTGTCTTCTTAAATTGCAAACGAGTTTGCTTTTCTCTGGAAATGGGGAAGGGACAATGGACTATGGTTGTATCTTAAAAGCACCCCACGAAGGATTAACATGTTATTACCTTCAATAACAAAGCTTTCCAATTTCCAATCATCAGTATGGCATCACCTCAAAGTGACTTTTGACCTGCTTGTTGTCTAAGCAAGGAGGTGGTCTCGCCATCCACAAAGAGATGGTATAAGGCATTCCCAACCCCATGTGGATTATGGGCCACTATAAATAAAATGTTAAATCCATGAAATGAGTCATCTTCAAAGGAAAGTTAAAAAGATTGAACAGCTAGTAGCTTATATCTCCATACCTTGTATTTCACACAGTCTTCCAATCTGTGATCCTTGATGAATAGCAAAATCAGGAGTTGCCTCTCGAACTGATGGAGCGTACCCTGAAAGAAGTCACCACAATACATGACCAGAAGTTATACTTTTTACACACAGTTCAAATTACACACAGGTTTGCAAACTCAGGTTGTTCTCCTATGTTTTATATTCCCTGGAATTTGTTGTCAATATTTTGTGGAGTATCGTACAATTCAGCAATTTTCAGTCTTCTGTCACAAAACAAAGATTAGCTCTAGTGGAGTAGTTTATACAATTAGCAGAATTGAGTGGTATAATTTTTCCTAGACTGTGTCTTTTGAGACAGCAAAGCAGGGAAGGAGTGATGGTTTGAATACTCTCATATAAAGAAGTTTTTTCATATATTTAATTACTTTATTAATATTACAACCATAGACTAAAATACAGTAATTCCATATATTTAAAAGGAAATTAGAAAAGAACTAGCCATAAAGGTTTGAGAAGGGTTTGTTGCCAACTGGTGTTAGAAGTGTTTAGTCAATATTTTTTAGCCGCACCATTGCCAGTGGGTTGTTAGAAGTGTTTAGTCGAAGTAGAATTTATTTCCTGATAGTTCTCCTTTCAACATGCACTTAAAAAGAAACCTTTTATCTCTGCTTCCTGAAACATAAAAAAGTGATCTGTATAGAACTAGCTGTGACCCGTCTTCAGATCAAAAGGAGCATAAGGACATATAAGACCGAGAATAGTGGTGTTCACAGTGTTGTCCCCATTTTTTACTGGTGTAGAATTTACATGCTTGGTTATCAGAAATATATCACATTCATACAAGATTCAGCCAACATTGCTCATTTTCAGTTTCAACAGTTTTCTTGGTGCATACACTACATTCAATTGGAGTGAAAAATAATGAAGTATACTGGACTGCATATTGGACTTTACACCTGTGTACAGTGGGACTTCGACTTACGGATGTCCCTACTTACGAAAATTTCGACTTATGAAAAGCTCCAGCTGCAAAATTTTGCTTCGACTTGCGGCCAGAGCTTCCACTTACGAATGGAAAAAGGCAGGGGGAAAGGGTGAGAAATTCAAACCACTGGTGGCAAAGAGGCTGCTTCTTTGTAGCTCTTTCGCGCTAACGGTTAGGAAAGGGAGGCTCAGCCTCCTGGGCTTCCACTGCTGCTGCAACCGCCCCCAGGAGGTGAGACACCGGACCATCCTGGCTGGGCTCAGCCTCCCGGGCTTCTAGCGCTGCTGCAACCGCCACCGCCAGAGGCCTCCTGACCTTCCTCGCTGCCGCCGCAGGCTTCCCAGGCTTATGTTGGGCTTACTGGCGGCGGTTTTGGTGGCAGAGAAGCTGCACAGTTGTGGAGAAAGGCCAGGTGGGGTCCCGGAGGGCTGCCCCCAACGGTGGTTGCAGCAACGGAGAAGCTGTGCAGTGGCAGAGGAAGCTCAGCCTCCCAGGCTTCCACTTTGCCCTGCTGCTGGGGGGAAAGGCTGGCCGGGGGCTGCCCGTCTGCTGGATGCAGATGTAGACTAGGCTTCCACTTTGCCCTGCTGCTGGGGGGGGAAGGCTGGCCGGGGGCTGCCCGTCTGCTGAATGCAGATGCAGACTGCAGCCTGGCCAACTTTTGCTGGCCCTCCAGGGAAAGCGGGTGCCATGGAAGGAACGTGTAGCCTGGCCAACTTTTGCCGGCCCTCCGGGAAAAGCGGGCGCCATGGAAGGAACATGCCAGGGCTGGCCAGGACTCCCAGGTATGCTCCGCTTCTCCCGGCTCCGGGGCGCCTAGGATCCCAGAGTCCTGCACGCAAGAGTGCCCGGCAACCCCGGGGAAGGGCTCTTGCCGCCATGGGATGGGGGCGGCAAGGAGGAGGGAAGGAGGGGGCCTCGCTCCTGTCCCGCTTGGCCGTCTGTGCGACTTCCTCACCAGACAGCCTTTCCCCCCCTCCCCAGATGGTGAGGTAATGAGTGGCGTTGGAAGCCCAGGCGGCCTCCCAGAGGCGGCGCTGGAAGCCCAGGAGGCCTCCTGGCGGCGGTTGCGGCAACGGTAGAACCAGGGCTGGGCGGCAGCAGTGGAGGCAAGGTACTGCTTTTAGCTTTTTACTGTTTGGGGTGGCTTTTGCAGGGTGGGATTGGGCTGGTGGGGTTATGTTCACATTTATTTTTAGTTTTTTTTTTTAGTTTTTTTTTGCAGGTCCAGAGGCTTGCAGTGTTTTATTTTAATTTTTTGGGGGTATTTTTTTTCATTGGCCTGAACGTATTAATCGGTTTTCAATGCATTTCTATGGGAAATGGTGCTTCAACTTTTTCTTTCTTTCTTTCTTTCTTTCTTTCTTTGATTTATACCCCGCCTATCTGGACTACTCGTCCACTCTAGGCGGCTTACAAAAAGTTCGACTTACGACACTGTTCCAGTATGATGGACTACTCGTCCACTCTAGGCGGCTTACAAAAAGTTCAACTTACGACACTGTTCCAATATGGATTAATTTTGTAAGTCGAAGCACCACTGTATATAATAACCTTCCTTTTTTTGCCTGAAATCCTCTTGTTTAGTGAAGTAAGTCACACCAGAGCAGACCACTGAAACAGGGGAGATTCGATGAATCAACAGCCCTGTATGTTTCTATGTCCACTCTAGGCGGCTTACAAAAAGTTCAACTTACGACACTGTTCCAATATGGATTAATTTTGTAAGTCGAAGCACCACTGTATATAATAACCTTCCTTTTTTTGCCTGAAATCCTCTTGTTTAGTGAAGTAAGTCACACCAGAGCAGACCACTGAAACAGGGGAGATTCGATGAATCAACAGCCCTGTATGTTTCTATGCCCATTTAAATCAATAGAACTTAAAGAGGAGCTGACTCAACAAATCTCCACTGTTTCATTGGGCCTGCTCTGGTATAACTTACTATATACACTAAGCAACAGGTTTTTAGCCATACAGTTACATTTAATGCATGTATTGGGCTGTTCCTAACTGAATAGGATTTTGAAATGTATGTTTCTTCAATAGCATATACACATTTGAAATTTGGTACAAAAGTTGTCAATTACAATACAGAATGACTATTTCAAATATCACACAATCTCTTTGAAATGTTTTCCATATAGCAATTTTAGCAGTTTCCATTTTTTAGGAAAGGAAGAATAGAAAACAGTACAGTATTGTGAAACACACTGTGGGACTGGACTTACAATCCAGATAAATGTGGAGACACTATACTCTGGATTAATTCTGAATATGAAAACAAACATCTTTTTTCTGTGAATTAAAGCAAATTATATTTCCATTAAACAGCAAGTGCAACAGCCGACTATTTTTTTAATGTTAGTGAAATTCTAATCCTTTTAAAGAATCTTTATCTGTCAAAAAGGAGAAGTTACTTACCTGTAACTCTGGTTCTTCGAGGGGTCATCTGTGAATTTGCACAAGTGGGTGTATTCTGCATCTGCGCAAAGACTTTTGCAATCTTCTAGAGTTTCTACACATGTTCACTATGACCCCCCTCATAGTGAACATGTGGCATCGAGTACCTCAGCAGAATACATCCACATTTGTGTGCATTCAGAGACCATGAAAAACACTCACATTTTCCTGTAATACTATTCAAAAGCAGGTGAAATTAGGCATCCCGAAGATCAAACATAGCATTCCTAATTTAAGATTTTTAATGGTCTTGCCATCAGTTTTGCAGGGGATTCCTAATTTAAGATTTTTAATGGTCTTGTTTGCCATCAGTTTTGCAGGGTAAAGCTAATCTAAGGAACAGAAGGTTTGCATAACTGAAGATAATAAATAGAAGACATTTTTAAACCATTGCTTTCTGAGTAACCTCGCATACAAATATAATTAGCTTGTCTGTTACAGAGGATGACAATGTTAAATCAAGAGGTTTAATATTATTTAGTTTAATTTTGGTCTGTACCCAAAACTATGTGTAATATACAGTATAGTTTATTCTCATCACATTCTATTATAGAAGCAAGTATCTTTTGTTTATACAACTCATAATACAACTCATAACTAGACAAATATTTTCTGTTCAAACAAAATGACCTTAAGTGTCACATTCTACTCTTCTCTTGTTAATATAATTTTAAAATTTTAATTGCAATGACATCTGGATCACTTTGCACACAATCCACCAGGGACCTCTTCTGAATACTTTTCATTCATTAAAATAAAAACTTCCCTGGGGCTCCTCAGTACAAAATGTCTGGTGGATGGCATACCTTTTTTTTAATAGTCCTGAAAAATGTGTAAATAGAATATATATTAGCTACCCAAACTAGAATTGTTTCTTCAAACCAATTCAATGATTCCTCTCAGAATGGTTTCTGTACAGCACATCTTTAGCAGCTCTCCTACTAAAGGACTTTGAAAGTTAGCTAATGCTAATATCTGGCTAAAAATGTCCCTGTGTAAAAAAAACCACCCCAAAACAAAACAAAGAACAAAATCAATTGGCAGCAGGGGAAAGTTGTCACAAAATCAATAGCAAATGCTGCTTAACAGTAGCAGATTCGATGTGTGTTCTTGAATGGTTAACAAGACTAAAGTAATGCATTTTTCATATAACTGCATATGATTAACGATACCTGAATCTATGGAAATGAGGTGAAATTTCAGTAGAAATGCTACAACATGGAATAGTTGCAGTTAATGGATTGTATGAATAGACACTTTAGGCACATGGCTATATGTTTGACTCTGGGGAAGGCAGAGCAGAATGAGGTTTTGATTACTGAGAATTAATTATAGAACATAAGAACTGCTTTGCTACCTAGCATAGCATCTTGTATCCAATACAGGGATCAGCCAGATTCTTTCAGTCAGCGTTTGAAGGCAACAGCTACATTCCACTGTTTGTTTCTAACATTTAGTATTCAGAAACAGACTGCTTCTAAACAGTTCTGTTCAGGCTATCATGGCTGATGTGGAAGAAGGTGTGAGAATGTAATCAGAATCAATCCTCTTAATTTAAGGACTTTTTGCTATTCTGTTCCTAAACACATTTTTAGGAGAACAATTCCTGTGGTGTAGCAGGGCACATCCAGATAAAGGCCCTTAAACTGG